CCGGGGGGGGGGGGGGGGGGGGGGGGGGGGGGGGGGGGAGATGGTGGACAGGGACTTGATTGTGTGCCACCCCACAGGTGGAGAAACCCGGGGGGGGGGGGGGGGGGGGGGGGGGGGGGGGGGGGAGATGGTGGACAGGGACTTGATTGTGTGCCACCCCACAGGTGGAGAAACCCGGGGGGGGGGGGTGGTGGGGGGGGGGGAGGAAGAAGATTTTACGCTTCATCTTCAACTGTTAAACCTGCACCCGCAGCAGCTGAGCCACCATACGTTGGGATGGCCAGTTGCTCCAGAGGACCATAGCTGATAGAAAACAGGAGAGATACATAGGACTGTATGACATCTGCAGCCCCATGCAGATAGAGCAGAGCGATGGAGTCAATGAGGAGAGACTGCGCATCATGCTGCTGCAGATGTATACAGAAGCATCAGGGCAATAATCACAGCCAGGTCTAAAATCCCAAATGGCACCTTCTGACTTTTGGTCCTGTTCTTGTGGAACCAACCACAATACAAAATACCAGGGCTCTTCAAATATGGATCTCGATTCCAAATCCAGGCTTTGTTTTCAGTTCTCCCGGGTAGTTAGTTTCATAATTACTGATTGTGATTGGTCAGAGGCTTCACACCTGGCTCACAGGTAAAGGAAGGCTGGAAAACCAGCAGTGCTCGGACCTCGAGGACCATGATTTGAATAATAAGGCAATATACTATCCACCTCTCTTCAAACACTTTGTTAGTTGAAGCTCATCAGGTCCAAATCCACCAACCAGCTCTGCTCTTCTTGCAACCATCAACAAGTGGACTTTCGAGAGACCAAAGGGGCTTCATCTACCGTGAAAGATCTCATCTGTGCTAGACCCTTGTCGGCTAAACAGCTGGTGGAGGGGAGGGAGTTGCCAAGCCAATAGGTCTGTGACCATTCAACCTCACAAACACATCACAACACAGGGACACTGAAGACCAGAATGCCTCATTCAAAGATCATTTATTCAGTTGTGACCTCATACGGCTCATCCGTTCAATAACTGTATTTAAAAATAACTGCAAAAAACAAGTATGTATCCTACAACAATGTTTTCAAAGCAAGCTGTGATGTCTTTCAAATGCCTTGAGTGTTTCTCACAGGTGTTGTTAAGGTGGATGCTGAAGGTGAATACGTACAATAAATATTGCATGCACCAGAGGCATACACTATACAATATTTCACGTCATCCTAACAGCAATAAGTTCCAAATCCAAAAAATATTTTTCCTTTTTAACAAAGATAGACCAAATCTGATGGTACATACACTTCCGAAATATTCCTCCAAGTAGCTGCATATTGTGGAGTTAATAAGTTTAAAATTTCATAACTGGCTGGAGACATAAGCCTTTTATTTAAAATATATATATATATTTTGGTAACATCGCGACTTTAAATAAACATGCAAACGCTGTTGTGCACGACGAAGTAATGCAGAAATACTTGCATAAATATTTATAGAGACTACAGGAACTGAGCCATTGTGAAAAGATGGTTATTTACAAAAACATTACCAAGTAAAATCAGAAGCACGGCGCCCAACGGAAGGAGATCTCCTTAAGTTAAAACAATAAATATTAAGTCGGCTTGAGAGATTGTTTGCTGGAAACACGTTGTGTCTTCATCACACCGACAAATATCCTTGCACTAGCGGACTAGCAGGACACTTTTATTAGAGACTTTACGTTGTCGATCCATCTTACTAAACGCCAGCTTAAAATGCAAAAAAAAAGGTCTCAAAATGTTTAAAATAACCCAGCCCGGGTAAATGCTAGCTCGCCCTTTCGCTCCGCTACAACACGATCGCGTCAGATCCAAGTTTGCATTAGCTAGCTTGCTAGGTAACTGCTTCGGGTGGGGGGGAAAAGAGGGGCTGGCAAAACGAGGTTTCCTGGTATTGCTTTAATTTAAGCCTGACGACCGGCTCACTTACGGCTATCAGACTGTAAACACGTAGCTAACTTACTCCTCTAATAACCAATCGCCTGTACATGTATTACATACATACTAGGCGAGCGATCTAGCCTTCAGACCCCTTGTAAATAAACGATCTGCATGCAGGCCGATGCGTTTTAGCACGGGGCGATTGAGTTTGCTGTGTGACTGTAGTATTATGACACCCCCTCCACCACCACCACCACCACCACCACCACCCCTTGCCTGCCCTCGCCGGTTGCTTTGAAGTGAGCCCCACATTCATTGCATTCATGTCTTGGCCTCTCGGAGTCTCTACAGCAGAAGCGGATGGGGGGGGAGGGGAAGCCGTAACAAACTCCGCACACACACATGCATAAACACACATACATGCTTACATACATACATGCAATACAGCCGGCCAGGCCCTTCCTCAGCCGACTAGTGCCCTACAACTTTAAAACATTGGCGATCGCGGAGAGGCGCGTTATGGAGGACGGCTGCTGGTAGCCTCGATCGCCACACAACGAACCTCCCTCTAAGTATAATATCGCACGATCGGGCGATCCGGCTCGATCCTACGATTGATTCAAACGCGACGCAAAGCAAAGGCACGTTTAATCCCCGGGCCACCGCAATCCTATACCCGAGCTGGAAGAAAGGAGAGGAGGGGTGTAAAAAAAGTTTCGTACTTTACCTGTGAAAGCCTGCTCCCCGTTTTCGAGTGCATCGGGAATATCGGTGTATGCAGCTCGCCGCGAATCGTGTCATAGGAGCGAGTTGCAACAGTTTTAAAAATAACAAAGAAAACAAGCCGTTCTTCTCCACCTCCCCATGGCTGTCTCTCACTCTCTTATTCCGACTCCGTGTGTGAGAGTGTGTGTATGTATCTGTGTGCCGAACGGGAGATGATGTACAGCGCCACGCTCGTCCGAGAAAACACACTGCCGCCCAGAAAGGGGGAGGGAGGGAGAGAGAGAGAGAGCAGAAAAAGACAGAAACGCCAGGAATTCTAAATGGTGTGCAACGTAGAGGAGAGACGGAGGCGCTTTTGTAGGGAAAAAAATGTCACATTGTAACACAGCAAGCCTCCTATTTCCGAAAAGCAGGGAGGGACGGAGTGATGTTTCTGTTTAGTTAGAAGCGGTGGACGAAATACTGTAATCTGTCGTTAATCCCGTGCATTGGCGCACACATATGCTATATGATAGTATATTTGACATTGCGGTTAAATATGATCAGAGTTTGGACTGAGGTGGGTAATTCCGAATTAAAACTGAGACGGTAATAGAACATCATTGGCAATGTGTTTTTTTTATTTTATTTAAATACTTTACTTCCTCTAATGATGTTTTAAATTGTTTGCTTAATTATCTATTTATTTAAATGACGGGCACATGCACGTTTTGCATTTACCAAGAAAGAGAACAATGTTACTTAAGTTTAATCTTTGCAGCCTCGTAACATTTTGCATCCGTCTTTCCGTTCAGTTTCTGGTGGCGGGCCTAATCCTAATCAATTCAGCTGTGCATATTGTTTCTATTATGCTTGTATTTTGCAACAAGACCGCATTGATCCGTTTCTACATTAGAATAAAGAGCTGCACTTTCGCCTCCTAAATAAGCAGCAAATGCAGCGATTCCGGATGGTCAAATTCCCGAGGCATTCTGTAACAACGGCTCTGATTGTTTTTTCTTTCTTTCTTTTTTTTCTTTGGGAAATAATTGCATCACACGTTTGGCTCAATACTAGGCAGCGGTCCACGTTTTTCCAGCGGAGTCTGCGTGTGGCGAAATGCCTCCGCTGTTCAAAAAACGGCGCAGACAAAGACGCCAAAACGACCTGTGGCTAAACCCCATTACCCCTTTAGCCAAAAGCAGCCTCGGGAAAAAAGAAACTTAAAGGCGGTCTCGCTGAAAACAGTGTAACTGAGCAGCCACATTGTGTGTGAGCGCCCTGTGGAGACACACACGTATCTGCCTTTGAAAGTCTTCCTGAGTGTGAAGATGACAAAGAATTTATACCCGCACCTATTTAATCTGCGGAGAAATGTTTGTATTTTTCTTACATCTAGGAGGGAAAAAAAATATTGTAAGTGTATGTATTTTTTTACGAAAGGTTAAACAATTGCAAGAATTTCATATTTTAGTTTGTCACACTTAAATGTATAACATTGTATATAATTTTTTAAATCGTTTTAGTATTACTACATTTATATTATCATATAGCTTTGCCAATTTAAATAATTTAACTCTGCAATTAAAATATCCCATACCCTGTGCCCAGAGTAGGTCCTATCTAGTTATTCTGAAATTTGGTTTGCCATTATATAAAACAACACAAGTCCAGGTTATGTCATGGGTTCGTGCGTTTCAAATGCGAATCTATTCCGGTGCTGGAAAAACAGATACAGCAGAGTAGCCATAAGGTCAGAACTTTGTACTAAAAGGGGACTCGGGGTAAACTCTCTGACTTATCACCAAACATTCTGTGTGCTACTTGCTTAAAGCAGAATCAGCACTATTAATATTTATCACGGCGTTCTACTTATAACTTAAAAAAAATCTGACAAAAACTGCAGCTTTCAGACACTGCAGGTCCTTTGCATAATTTTTGTTTTCAAGACAGCACTGCACACTAAGCAAACGTTTTCCTATTTTAATATTGTAAACTAATGTAGCGTAGCTTTGTGCAGACACCATCAGGAGCAGCTGGACCATTTCTAAGGTAGGAATGAAGAAAAATGGCTTGTAAAGAATGTGCCGAAATAGACGGGGTGATATTACAGCTTGACGTGAGCACTCACAGCTTTGATTGTCTCTTAGTGCAGTGAAATGCCAGAATTACTCATTAACTGAGAGCTATAGGGGCAGCCACCTGGTCCTCGACTGCCATTGCAATTGGTGCCAGAAGCGAGGGAGGAAGTCCCTGTATCACTTCGGCATAATGGTGCAACATAGCGAGAACTCGAATGTACCCTCAGATCCTCACAGACAGAAAAAGATGTGCAGGCAGAGCAGATAAGCATTTTTTTCCCTGAGACATCAAGTCTCTCAGACCTGGAAGAGTCTACTCTAGGCAACTTGCTAGAAAGTTCTACAGCACAAGCGCATCATTTCAGTTTGACGTGAGAGCCGATGTGATTCACTGTGGCTATCACCCACATGTCGTGATATCACGTTGCTGTGGATTCCATTTCCTCTAACTGAGAGTTTGCCATAGATATTTCTCTCCATAATGATTCTTAAAATGTCTCTATCATGAAGCCTCATCTTTATGGTGGCAGTCATAAGATGACAGGTCATGAAGACCACAAATGAATTTGCAACATGGCTTCCTGGTCCTGCTTTGGAGTATTTCGGACACACAGGACTCTACAAGCTTTGCCAACATCTTGGGCACAGAGAAACCATTTTTGAGCCAGGCTATGAAAATCGATCATCTAATGATGGACAGGCACACCTTAAGATGAAATCATTTTGACGTGTTGCTGGAAACCAAGAAGAATACATTAGAAACTTCCAGAAGCGTTGCGTGCGCAGCATCCCCGTTCAGAATTTTTCACTATGCAGTCGATTGTGAGAGAGTTCTCTGTGCATTAAGATCAGTTCAACAAGGGTCTGTTTAATATTTAACTTTATTGAGGAGTGCAGATGATCACATTCGTTTAATGTGGTCTGAAGACTGCTGTCCAATTCCGCACATTTCTGTTACCGTACTGCCTACATCCGTAAGGAACGCGAGAACAACAGAGGCTTTGTGAATCTTTTCATAAGTGACAGATAACGTTAATAAAACCGAAGCACGTTGTGTGTAGACCCCATCTTTCAAAAAGAGCATAAGATAAAGGCCGGCTTTGACTTCTGGGGAAGGAATTTGTAATCTAAGGATCGCTGAATTTTAGCTTCATGGGGCTGTGCTGAGTTTTCCTCACCCACGTATTACCAAGTCTTAAAAAACATAACAATTCTGCTACGGGTCAATTTGTACTGAGAATTAATGCCCTGTCTTCTCTGTGATGACCCTGTTGACATGCAAATGTTAAATCAGAAAAGTGCACCATGACAAGAGCCATGTGCCCAGGAGCAATGAGCAGTCTTCAGAAAAACAGAACATTTTACCAGGTGTTGGCAAAGCTGAAAGGGCAGTATAAGACGAGGTCACAGATCTCTGCAAAGGCCAGTAGCGGGGAATTGACTTAAGCAGAAGATGACTGGCTAACAATGAGTATTGCAGCAGGAGAGTATGACTAATATTGTTCTTTGGTTAGGCTTCGCGAGAAGCAGTTCAGCTTATTTCATTAGAATTAAATTTTAAAAGGTATTTCGACTGATGTTTTCACCCGTTTAGGCAAAGATTTTGCCATTTGTGTTTTTCTTTATTAAAAAAATTATGCAATATTTCTACTTCTGTGTTTCTTCAAATGGTTGTTTAGAGGGAAAATGAACAGCAGCCTCATTTGCATAATGCTAGACGTTTTCTCGTCAACATTACTCATCCTCTAATTTCCTTGAACCTTAACCTCAACCCTGACCTCCATCCCCTTTTGAAAAACCTTACTTATGTATTTATTTATACTGGCATGCATTTCCAGTAACTACCTCTTTAATTTCATACTGCAGAGTCTTTAAAGCACTCTATGAAGTAATTTAAAGTGTATTCATTGCCTACAGGAATAAAAGACGAAAAATTCTTGACTTTCTGTATATTAAAAAGGAGACAAGATAAGTTGGCTGAACGCAAAGGAGATCGCAATCCTGGCGTAGTGGTTCTGCCTTGGGCCGGTTCTCAAAGCCTCCTTTGTACCTGCTGCTTAGCCAGTTTGCTTTGATTAAAGGCGCTCAAGAAACAAAACAGTTGGCCAGATGAAAAAAAACCTGAAAGCTTTCCGCGCACTCCTGCCTTGGGTTCAGGTTGCCGGCTTTATCAGCCCCAGAGAAGCGGCGGGCGAGGCAGAAAGATGCACTATCATCAAATGCACGCGCATCACCGTGGCGACGGAATGCGCTTGCATCATATCTCCCGGTCCGATCGGCCCGCTGCCGGTGCTGCCCCGTAAGGGCTGGGCCCTCCCGGACTTACCGCAGCACCTCGCCTCTGCCAAGGCTCCTCTCTCGGCTTCCTAGAAGATACGCATCACGGACTCAGTAAAGCTAGACCCCCTTCTTAAGATCGAGAAGCACAAGGGCCTGAGATTGTGTAGGTGGACCTTGGCATCTCTGAGACGATCTTTGAAGCAGCTACTGCAAATCTGTTCCGGCTTACTGGTTGATTCCCGGCCTCTTTTTACGGCCCGGGCTCTGACCGTTATGCCGGAGACATGCTGTGACATTTCACCAGAATTCGGTTATTCTTTTTACAGATTATCCCATGTGAATAAAAGCTACTGTAAAAGCATTCCAACATATTATACCTCCCTGGCAATAATTCGTATCCCAACAAAAAAGTTTCTGGATCTTTGACTCCTGCTTCGCTCGTCGCCTGTAGAGGAAGCCGTGTGTATTTCAAGCGCATTTCAAATGTATGTCTGCATACCTGTGAACAGTCACCGTTTCCCAGAGTGCGGGCATATCTACAGTTTATCTGCCAGCTGTATGCGTCTCAGTTCGCATCTCACTGCTGAACGTCGCGCTGCGCTCAGGGTTCAGTAGATCGCTTCAAGTGATATGTTGCGTTCAGGGGTAGCCAAAATCCTATTCTCCATGTGTGTTTAAAGTAGCATCATTTCCATACCTGGCAGCCCTAACCCTTCTTCCACAAATGAGTAATTGCATTGTGCAAAAATAAAATAAAAGTAATTAGTGGAACAAATGAGTGAGTGGTATGTAGCTTGCGAATGAGGGCCCACCAGATAAAAGATACCTTGGAGTAACACTGCAAATCAAATCTGCCGGTACATTTCTGAGCCCCCTGTGACATTTCAAACATGTCAAATGTGTCTAACTGCATTTAGAAACATACGACACTGACATCCCGCCCAGGGTGTACCCCGCTTCAAAGCCTCTGCTTTCTGCGGTAGGTCCCAGCCTCAAGGATGGATGGATGGATGCAACCTAATACACAAAGGTCTTGTCTAGTATTTTATCTAAAGGTAATATTTAAATAAAAAAGTGCATAGAGCCCATTAAAGAAATAAGCTTTCACAACAGAATCTATTGCGGGCTGTGGACCTTATTATGAGACTAATATTTTCCTGTTTTATTCGTAATGGCAACCGTGGGGATCACAGTTAATTTGGATGTGCTGTGTTTGCAGTCATATTTACTCCTAGTGCTGACAGGGAGGCCTGCTTAGTGTAGGAT